CTTGCTCTGGCTGTGAATTTGTCTCTTGCCTCCTCTCTGTCCTGTTCCTCTTTCCTAACAGACCATCTTCTGTTGCTTTCCCAGGCACATTAGCAGGGAGCTGGATGGGAAGTGGAGCCGCTGGGACTGCAACAAGTGCTCATACGGACTGCTGGCATCGCAGGCTTAACTCGCTGAGCCTCAAAGCCAGCCCCCAGACATCACATTCTGCAGGCCTTTATTTCCTGGTCTCAGGACCTGGGGTTACTGAAGTGACCCACACTCCCTTCCAGAGGATCTTTCTCCTTCCTATCCGTAGCATATGAAATCTGCAAATGTCTTTACTGTACCTTCCTCTTGGCTCCTCATCTTGTATGTCAGAATTAGATTTGGAGGAACAAAGAGCTACAAAATAAAGCAACTTTCTAAAAAAGAGCAGCCTCTTTCTCTTGGTTCATGTGCAGAGGTAGCTAGTTCCCAGCTGGCATGATGGCTCTGCCCAAAAGGCCCTCAGGGACCCTGACTTGTACCTTCTTGCGTCCCCATAAAGCTACAGTTGAACTAGATGCAAGATGACACTCTAGAAGCAGCCCAACCTCTGCATTCCAAGCACTACGGAGGAGGGTGGGAATTAGAAGACAAACTGTTCCCCATCTGTTTCTAAGGATGGTTGCCACAACCTGCCACATTGTGCATTGCTTAACAACGGGGATACATCTGAGAAATGCATTCGTAGGCAATTCTGTTGTCACGTTAACATCACAGCCTGCACTGACACGAACCTAGATGGTGCAGGTCAGTTGACATCCGGCCTCTCAACACATCTCCTGGTAAACAGGAGCTGTCAAAGGCTGCTGTAGGTGTAACACAGCACACTGCTGTAGGGTAAGATTTTTTTCATACACAGAGGACATATACTCTAAAATAATGATAGAAAGTATGGTATAGTAGATACAGAAAGCAGTAACACTGTCATTTATTATCAACTATTGGGTATTGTACATATAATTGTGTGTGCTATCTTTATGTGTGACTGGTAGCATAGATTTGGTCACACCAGCATCGCTGCAAACAATGCTATGAGGTTACAATGGCTACGGCCCCACTAGGTGACAGGAATTTTTTCAGCTCCACTACAAAGTTACGGGACCACTGTGATATGGGTGGCCTGCCATCGACCCAAATGTCATTATGCAGCATAGCATTATTCTTTTTCTAATGGTTGTTAGCCAGTGCTTAGCCACAGGGCCACAGACAGCTTGCAAGAGAGCCTGGAAAACCCATCTTTCTTCTGGGGAGTCATGCGCCCAGTTAAAATAAGACTGTTCTGCCTAAAAAGTTGAGAGTTTTGTTACTATGAAGGAAAGAGACTGGCCATTGAGGGACAGCCAGCAGGCTCTGTCATTCTTTCCTCCATTGAACTCTGTCCACCTGAGCCAAGTAGAAATTCTTTTGAAATGGAATCCAATGCACTAAATCTCACTGGGGATATGAAGAGATTTCATGGCTCTGATAGCATCAGAGGAAAAAATGCTCATTAATGAGAATCATATCCAAAACCAGACTATACATCCTTCCATTACCCAGACCTGAGGGGCATACGAGTACCTCTGCTTGTGGTATGAAAAACTGCTCAAATATGAGTTTTAGATCTGCAAGACCAAGGATTTCAGGAGTCACTTGAACGAAGACAAGATGTTGGCTCTTGTCACATTGACTATGTAAAGGTGAATTTGTGCATGTGAGCAAAACCATTTAAATCAAAATTAAACTTACATAGAAGACTTTCATCAATAAGAGCATTTCTGGAGCAAATGTCATTATGCCAATTGAATGCCAAGATCAATCTTATATTACAGTTAAACTGTTTCTCATTCTCTCCACTTTATTAAAAGTATTTTCACTGGAATCAGTTTCAGTTCTCTTACATGTAAACTTTATATTTTAATTATAATTCAGTGTTATTTTTTCCCTTCATGACAAATTATAACCATTAGTGTTTTTGACATTACAAGATTTCTTTTGTGGTTAATTAACCATGGCCAACTTCTTTTCTATTCAAACTTTGTAGATCTAAGTTTTGTCAAGAACATTAGATTTTTCCATCAATTTCCAATAAATGACATTTTTCTTTGTCTGTCTTTCTCAAGTTTTCTGGTTTTCAATATTAATCAACAATTATTTTTCAGGTGTTTTAAAGGATTTATTTATATTTATTTGGAAGGCAGAATGACAGATGGGTGTGTGTGTGTGAGAGAGAGAGAGAGAAAGAGAGAGAGAGAGAGAGAGAGAGAACTTCCATCCCTGGTTCATTTCACAAATGGCTACAATGCACCAGAGCTGGGCCAGGCTGAAGCCAGGAGCCAGGAACTGCATCCGGGTCTCTCACACGTCTAGCAGGGGCCCAAGCACTTGAGTCATCTTCTGTTGCCTTCGCAGGTGCATCAGCAGAGAGCTAGACAGGAAGCAGAGCCACTGGGACTCGAACCCTCAACCTGATATGCAATGTCGGTGGTGAAAGCAGTGGCTTCACCCTCTGTGCTGTCATTGCCAGCTCTTCAGTCAGTTTTTACTCTGCAGCAAAAGCCTGTCCAGTTTTAGCTACTGTTAATTTCGTTTTGTATTGATTTTTTTCTATCAAGTCCCATGTTTCCTGTCAAACTGGTCACAAAAAAACAGGCAAAAAATACTTCCCAAATTCTAGGCAACTATTCTGGCATGTTTGGCTTTAGAGATAGAATTTTCAGACAAAACCAACTGTAGGCATCACCTCATTCAACATTCACATTTTGCAAGGGAGAAATGCAAGGTGCAAAGAGGCCAGACAACTTGTCCGCAGGAAGCTGATGAAGGCCTGAGCAAGTGTTGGAGAGGATGGAGGTGATGGGCAGATGTGATAAATGCTGATGGGAAGTGGGATGAGGGAGTGACCAGCATTTACAGTTTGACTGGTTTCAGGGTGGGCATTGTGGTATAGTGGGATAAGTGGCCCACATTCCGTATTTGCAACCTGGCTATTCCACTCCCAGCCCAGCTTCCTGCTAATGCATCCTGGAAGGCGGCAGATGACAGCCCAGTAATTGGGTTTCCTCCACCCATGTAGGAGTTCAGGCTGAGTTCTGGGATCCTGGCTTCAAGCGTGGCTCAGCCTTGCCTCTTGTGGGCATTTGGGAAGAGAACCAGTGGATGGAAGTTCTCACACTCTCTGTCACTTTGTCTTTCAAGTAGATGAAAATTAAACCATTTTTTTTAAATGAGAGGACCCAACATTACTACAATGATACTCTTACTTGGCAGGAATCAAGGGGAGCTGAGGAGGGACCACGAACTCCAGTTCTCAGTCTCTAACCACGGGTTTCACTCTTTCATGTTGACTGCCTGGTGGCTGTAGGCTTTGGGGTTTGGAGCCTCTGGTGCAACATAAAGACCACAGGGAATTCGAGTTAAGGGAAAGGGAAAAGAAGAGGTGCCCCCATGGAAATGAGGGGAGATGGTTAGCAAGGTAAGAGGAGGGCCTAAAGGCCCAGAAGCAAAGGGGCAAAGGAATTGGGTTTGAAAGGAAGAGGGATGGATCTTGTTTTTGTTGTTCTTACCCAGAATTTTGGTTAGGCCTAAGATTTAGGAGTCATTTTTGAAACCTTTCTTTTCCTTATCATCCATATGTAATCCATCACCAAGTCTGTCATATCTGCTTCCGAATTACTCCTTAAATGTTTCCATTCCTATCATTTCTTACCTGATCGTTGCCAGAGCAGCTCTTTGGATCCTTTCTTGATGGCCAACAAATTCATACTACACACAGCAGCCAGGAGGATGAGCTTGTAAAACCACATCCAGTTCTTCCTTGGCTTCCCATTACACTTGGGACAAAATCTATGCTCCTCACATTGGTCCAGAAAGGCTGTTCTTGCTTTGTTCTTCTCATCCTCTGCTCCGCCATGGTCTTGCTTTCAATTTCTTAAGGGGATGACATGCTGTTCTCTTCCCATAGCCCTTGTACCTGCAGATTTTCCCAAAGCACTGGCCTCTCCTGTTGTCAGTCAATGGGCCTTTTCAGAGGGCCCTTCTTTGGCATCACAAATCAAAGGGGCATCCACCTCCCTTTACTTTCTCAGCAACCCGTTGCCTTCCACAGATGCATATATGTAACGTCCCTCAAAGATCGTTGTCTTGGGGCCGGCGCTGTGCTGCAGCAGCTTAACGCCCTGGCCTAAAGTGCCAGCATCCCATAGGGGCGCTGGTTCCAGACCCGGCTGCTCTACTTCCCCTCCGGCTCTCTGACATGGCCTGAGAAAGCAGTAGAAGATGGCCCAAGTCCTTGGGGCCCTGCACCTGTGTGGGAGACCTGGAAGAAGCTCCTGGCTCCGGATCCGCACAGCTCCGGCCGTTGCGGCCAGTTGGGGAGTGGACCATCGGATGGAAGACCTCTCTCTCTGCATCTCCTCTCTCTGTGTAACTCTTTCAAATAAATAAATAAATCTTTTATTTTAAAAAGATCGTTGTCTCAACTACAAAGTGACCTGCATGAGGGCAGGCAGGTTCACTGCTGTACCCCCAGAATCTGGAATAGGGCTTGCCTGGCGCATACTAGCACCTGTAGAATGTCTGGTGCCCCATTTTCAACACAGAATGGAAAATTACTGTTAGCAGATGCAGCACGGAAGAAGGTGACTTTGTAACTTCCTATGCTGTAAGATAATAAAGTCTGGTTTTCACTGTACCTCCCGAATCCACTTGGGCCGACAAGCGAAGCTATTTCCCACCCACCTTAATAAATTATGGCATAAATAACAGGTATGTAAACAAGGTACGTCACAGCCAGCAGGGGCAGAGTAGATTAAGGAATAAAAAGTTTACAAATGTTAACTCCATAGTATTTTTCCTCTTATGAGCCAAAAGATTTTTCTAATTAGCACTCAAGTCCGGCGCCACAACAATCCCAAACGTAGGAAGCGCTAGGGCCGCCCCAGCACAACAACGCAGCTCCGCGCCTGCGCAGACTTCCTCCTGGCGGCCCCGCCCCGCTCGGCCCGAAGGGGCGGGCTCGGCGGCCCGCGGCCCGGGCGCGCGTGAATGACGTCACTGGGCGCGTGCCCGGGTAGCCCGTAGTAACCCGGAGTCTGCGGAAGTGGAGACTGGTGTGGGCAGGCAGCTGAGACAGGTAACCTGTGCGCTCCCTGTTGGGTCCTCCCTGCCGTCCTGTCCTCTTGTGCCCGGATGGCTGGCGGAGGCGGCAGCGTCCTGTGCTGAAGGCGACGGAAAGCCAACCCCTACCCAAACCTTTGCTGCTGCTTCAGCGGGGACTGTGTTCACCTGTCGGGGAGACTGGGCGGAGCCAGTAGCTCTCACCTGAGGGTCTCGCTCTCGGGGTAGCACTGCCCTCTCCCAGGCTGCACAGACACCCCCCCCCCCACCCCCCCCCCCACCCCCACCCCGGCTTCGCTGCTCCTTCCTCTCCTCCCCAGGCCCTTCTCACCCGCCTGGCTCGTCTTTTAAGTCTTCAACATAGTGTCAGATTCTGTTTCCACTTGACGGGAAGCCCACCCAGCTCCCCTCGTCCCTGAGGGTCCCCGCGCTGTGACCACCGAGTTTCGAGCTTTGGGTATCCGTAAAGAACATTCGTTCTCTGTCACTCTGGAGTTCTGCTCAGTCCCCCGCGCGCGTGGTGTGTGCGTGTGTTGGGGGGAGGCGCCGTGATGTGAGCATCTATTTGTGATAATAAATGGGCCACATGGGTCCAGTCAGCCGTTGATTTGCATTTCACCACAATGCTCCTTGCCCCTGGATTGCTTTCTGGTTTTCCAGCAAGTGCTGACAATCATTGCACAGGTAGCCCTAAAATAAGCGAGGAACAGAACATGCTGGGAATGTTTAACTCGCTAAAGAAAATAATAGGATTAATAATTGTATTTATGTATTTGAAAGGCAGCGTGATAGTGAGAGGGAGAAAGAAATCTCCTATCTGTTGGTTCACTCCCCAAATGGCTTCAGTGGCAGGGGCCTGGCCTCCATCTGGGTCTTCCACGTGGGTGGCAGGGGACCATGTACTTGGTCCCCTTCCACTGTTCTCGCAGGTGCATTAACAGGAAGCTGGTTCAGAAGTGGAGTAGCCAAGACTGGAACTGGGGCTCAGGTGTGGGCAGCTTAGCTCACTGTGCCACAGCACTGGCCCCAGGATTCAATTTTTTTTAAAAGATTTGTTTATTTATTTGAAATGCAGAGTTACAATGAGGAAGGGAGAAGCAGAGATTTTTCCGTGTAGTGTTTCACTCCCTAAATGGGTGTGAAACCAGGCTGAAACTAGGAGCCTGGAACTCCATCCAAGTCTCCCACATGGCAGGGGCTCAAGTACTTGGACCATCTTCCCTTGCTTACTGGAGGTGGAGCAGCTGGGTCTTGAACCAGCACTAGTATGGGATGTCTGTCTTGCAGGCAGCAGTTTGACCCGCGGTACAATACCAGCCCCTCATAATTGTTGATTAAGGAATAATATGTTATTACAAAACCAGCCAGCAAAGATGCTGAGTATAAGGGATAAGAAATAGAATTCTAAATTCCTTGATCTTGTTGACGGTTTTGTTTTGTATTTTCTTGTACTTTTAGTACATTCCATTTGTGAGTATATTGTAATTCATATAGTTCTGGGAAGCCTAACAATGACTTGTTAACTGGTAAGTTTAAACTTCCAGTAATTGGGGGATGAAGTGGAATAAGATTAGGGAATAATAATAGTTGTTGATTGTTGACCGTCTGCTGGCTCCCAGGGGCTGTGTTCCACAATTTGAGTACGTTTTCTTCTTAGCCAATGAGAAGTTATTGGGCGTTAGGGATTCTAGTCCACACACACAGAGGAGGAAACAGGCTCAGTTAGGTGAAAGTGACTTACCACAAATTCACAGTAACTGAATGGCAGAGCCAGATTTAATTCAGGCCTGTGTATGACTTCAAAGTCTATATTTGTTTTATTAAATTACACTTGATAATCCAGTTCTAGGCTTTTTACAGTAGTCACGCATTCATTTATCTATCCCAATGATTTGATGTTTTATAATGTCTTTAGGATAAAATTCTGATATTCATGGAATTAAGACATCTGGAAAGCTTAATTTGTTTTACACACACACACACACACACACAAATACTCCTCATCTTTAAGAATGAGATAAATAAAAATGAAAGTAAAAGCCTTCTTTTTGGAGCTGTCAGGGAATGCGTAATTTTGTAGTTGAGAGTTTAACCTCTTTAGAAATGAAAATCATATTGACTGTTTTAGGTGGAAATTTTAAAAATTTAAAAGGCAGTTCCTTGCCTTCGTAAACACTAAGTTGTATTGAACAGATTTTTAACCTTTTATACGGCCATGAGCATCATTTGCTGTCCTGTGTTATAATATGGTCATTTTCTCAGAGCTTTTATTGAATTTGACTCCCAAACTGCTTTGCATTTTGAATTTGCCTGTACTTTTTGTAGTTCTTTTCGCAGTGTCGCCAAGAGTTGGTAATGTATAACAATTAAAACTGGGAACCAGACTTCTGTGGTTCAAATCCTAGCTCTTCCACTTATTAGCAGCACAGGGGACCTATGTAAGGCACTTGAACTCTATATACCTCAGTTTTCTCATTTGTGAAGGGGATAATAGAATACTTAGAGGATTTTTGTGGCAATGTGATGAATTACTATATGTAAAGATCTTAGAATACAGCTAAGTAAAAAAGGTCACGGACAGTAGAGTTAAAAGATAAGTCTATTTTGGTACAAAAATATTGAAATCCATGTAAAGTTTTTCAATAATATACATTTTTCTCAGACTTTTTTAAGCGCTCATGTTTGTGGAAAGAGCCACATGTTTGCTAATTCTACTGTTATCCTGGTTTTGACATTAGGTCGTTGATATTCACATTCTAGTTCTTTTGAAAATTGTTGTTTCTTGAATGATATTTGATATAATTGCCAGCTTAGTAGATGATTAAATTAACTCCTTCCTCTTGGGCCATTCTTGGAAAATGTCTTAATCCACTTTCATTGTATTTTTGCAATGCAGTGGGCATTTTGCATGAAGTGTTTGGAGTGGAGATTTTAAATACTTCACTTTATGTATCAAAATAATGACGTATAATTTCTGTTTTGAAATTGGGCTCTATGTCAGTGGTTTAAATTAGCAACTGTTAACACTTTACTTTGACAACCAGTTGATTTACATATTATTTAAAGTGCCTTGCATAGATATACAAATTTTAAACCAAGGATAGCTAAGAGTTGGTATTGACTCCTTTTTGATGTTCATAGTTAGGAAGTTGAGAATGAGTAAGTAGTCTGTCCTTTGTTTAAATACCATTAGGGCTGCCTGCTACTCATGTCATACATTTCTGTTGAAAATATTCATATATGCTGTACTTCCTAAATGATTTTTAAGGTAAACAGTTCAGTGGCATTAAGTATGTTCATAATGTTGTGTTATGGTCACCATTATCCATTTTTCAGAACTTTTTCATCATCCTAAGCAGAAACTGTACTCATTAAATAATAACTCTTCCTCTCACCTCCTGGTCCCTGGTAACCTCTGTTCTACTTTCTTTCCCTGTGGGTTTGCCTCTTCTGGGTACCTCATATGGGTGGAATCATATAATCTTTGTCCTTTTGTTAGTGGGTTGTAAGTATAATATTTTTAAGGTTCATCCATGATTTAGCATGTGTCAGATTTTCATTCCGTTTTGAGGCAAGGTAATATTCATTTGTGTGGATATACCATACGTTCTATTTGTGATGCATTTGAATTAGCTTTTTGTCTCATATTGTATTAATGCCGTTCTTAGTGATTTGATTTTCTAAGCTTCTAGAGGATCTGAACGGAGATATATCAACAGACATAATATTGTTTTTGAAAATGCCTGGTGTACATTGTTAAGCTGGAGTCTCAGCATATATTATGGTGTAATCATCTCTCCTAGTATTTTGTCTTAAAAATAGACAGGAAAATAAAATTATGATAACTACCCAGTATTTCTTTTATTTTTAATGTTTATTTTCATCTCCTTGAAAGGCACAGCAACAGAGAGAAGGATAGAGACAGAGACAAAGGGAGAGAGATCTTCCATCTGCTGGTTCACTCCTCAAATGCCCATAGTGGCCAGGACCAGGCCAGCCGAAGCCAGGAACTCTATCTGGGTCTATCGTGTGGGTAGGGACCCAAGAGCTCATTATCTGCTGCCTGCCAGGACACATTAGCAGGAAGCTGGATGGGAAGTGGAGCAATCAGGGCTAGAACTGGAACTCCAGTATGGGTTGTGGGTATCCCAAGTGGTGATTCAGCCTGCTGCACCATGCCTGTCTCATGTTACCTAATATTTCTGTGGAGTTTACAATATACCAGGCAGTGTGCTAAGTACTTAGCCAATGAAGCAGACACTATTATTGTTCTCGTTTTAGACATGAGGAAATGGAAACACAGAGAAATTTAGCAAATTACTGAGACTGTGAGGCTGGTAGATGGTGAAACTGGGATGTGAATTCTGGCTGTCTAGCTTCAGATTTCAGTTATCCCTAGGTTTAGTCAATTTCAACTTTGCAGTGTAAGTTTATTTGCCTGTCACACTCTTCTTCTATCTTTTTTATTCTCTCTTTAAAACTGAAAATTACTTTTGAACCTAGTAGTCAATGGATGAGCAACTGAACCCAAACTATCAAAAGGGTAACAGGTGTCTCCTCTCATTTGGGGGCAATAAAATTTAAATGGAATTTGGACTTCATTTTCACAGCTTAGTTCTTATCCTTCTCTGAGAGACTTATCTTTGAAAAGCAAATCCCAAAACTTTTTATGACCTCATACTGCATATATATGTGCTGGTATTTGATTTTTAATATATACAATTCCCACACTACAGGAACTCAATGGGTAGAAAGAGCTTTTTGTTCATAATGATTTTGACTATTAGAGTGGTTTATGGCATACTCATTTTGCTGACAACTCATTACTGTGTTGCTTTTGATTCCTGAAGAAATTATTTTGAAATAACATTTTTACATACATAATCAATTTCATTGTAATTTTTTTCTTCTTTTGCTTATATTTTATTTCTTTGACATTTGCAATTGAAGGTTTAGTTTTTGAAAGTGACAGAAATCATGGGACTGGTGCTGTGGCATAGTGGGTAAAGCCACTGC